TGTTTTTTAAATATATGACTAGATTGAATGTATCTAAAAGGTGGAGTCAGTTCTGAAGAGTGAGGTATTCTAATTAATCTATATCTTCTTTACCAGTTGATAAAATCAGAATCATAAGTGTGTTTCCCTCTAATGTGATATTGGTTATTTTCTTACTGAGTGTCCCTGATGTCTGGGGACAGTGCTTAAGAATAAAACCACCAAGATAGGTGTCTGTCATTAGGAAACAGAAGACTTAGTCACATTACTCATGTGATAACACAAGAAGCGTCCACTCATCCTGAAACCACACATCAAACATCTGATGCAAGACAAGCACTGTGCTAGACTCAAAACACATCACATAGGAGAGTCACTTGTGCCTTCAATGGTCTCACATTGTGGGGATAAAATTGTTCAAACAATTACAATATAGTTTCAACACAGTCAACCTATTTCACACAGGGGACTGCTATGGCTTAGATATGAAGTGTCCCCTGAAAAGCTCCTTTCATGAAGACATGATCCCCAGTGCAGTAAGTTCCAAAGGTGAGGCTTTTAAGCAGTGATTAGAGCTCTGACCTCTGACCTTGCTGTACTGGGGATCATGCTTAAAACACATTAGCTTTTGAGTGGGAGGTGATACATATTGTTTGAGTCAGAACTTATTGTCATGGAAAAGCAAAGTTCCAGATAATTCCATTTACTGATATGGTATAGTGACTTAGCTGCACTTAAACAATGGAAATTAGCAAAATGATCCGCCAAAAAGGTCTACTTGCAAGAACAGATTTGCCAAAAAGCTTATCTCCTTTTGCAATTTAATATTCAATAAAGATATTATATTTAAAAAATTTAAAGAAGGATTTGTATTAAGTCACTTTCAAGTCAAAATAGCTGGGGATGTAGCTCAGTGGTAGAGTGCTTGCCTCGTACTAAAAAAAATAAAAATCAATTCAATGAAACAAGAGTTTATTAAGGGTATCAAGAGCCTACAAAGATTTAGGGAAATCTAAAGTAAAAAGACAGTAGTTTCTAAAGAGATTAAAACAGCACAGGAACAAAACTAAATTTGACCTGATTAATAGATATTTCCTGGTGCTTTTATAGATTCAATATTATGAGATTTCTTTGAACTTTGCAAAC